GCATGTTTTGAAGTGTTTGTTGGCGGATATGGATAATATGCTTGCGAATGCTGGGAAGAAGAGTGTGAGAGACTTGAGTAGGGATGATCTTCAGATTGTGCCGCTATCCAAGATTTGATTGCTTGCAGGTGTATCTATGTTCTAGCTAGCCATCTTTATTTACCCGAAACTACTAAAGGTTCAAAAGCCATCCCACGAATCTACTAAATGAATACATCAAGATGATGAGAAGAAAGAAAAATCGCCCTCGAGCCCTCCGCAGAACCCATCACTCAAAGCTTACTTGGAGCAAGGCTTGCCATCAGTGTTACCGCAATCATTAGTATCAGTGCACTTAGATCCGCAACCGTAGCTGATGAAGTCAGAAGGCGTAGTCTGCTCCCAGTTATCCATGCACTGAGTCTCATCTCCATTACCCCAGTTACATCTCTGTCGGCGATATCCCTTCTGTCTCATGACCTCCTGCTGGGTCCAAACAGTATGGCAAGCGCCATCATCCCAAGTACAAGCAGTCAGGTCCTGAGCCTGAACACACTTGGACTCGGTGTCGGTGGTAGTGAAGTCAAGACCAAGGCTGAAACCTTCGATCTCAGCACCAACGCTGACACTGACACTTTCAGAACGCTCCTGGCAGACTTCGTTGCCGACGAGCTTGGTGGCAGTGCAGACTTGGGTGCCGGTGCAGTAGATGTTGCCGGAAGCTTTCTGCCATGGGGTATACTCCTTGGAGGTCTCGAGGACGAAGTAGTCGTACCAGCATTTGCGGACCTTGGGGAACTTATAGGGATGGGTGGTTCGGTCGGAAGTCACGTAGGTTCCTTCGCCGTCGGTGTAGGGACCTTCGTATGTTCGGGAAGTGTCATCGCAGACGGGGAAACCATCGCGCTTGGCGAGAACTTGGCCAGAAGCGGTTGGACCAGCATGGACGACGGCCAGTAGAAGGGAAGAGGACAGGAGGCTTTTAAAGAGCATGATGAAGGATCTTGATGAGTAGCTTGAAAGATTGGACTGCGGAATGAGTGAGTGAGTGAATGAATGAATGAATGTGATTGATGTTGAGAAGGATGGTTGAATCGAGGCGCTCTCCTCTGAGCTTTATAGGCATCATTCGACACTCGATTCTCTCAGCTGTCTATCCTATACAGTGAAGATCATCCCATAAGCCGCCAAGGACTCAGGATCACCGAAGCTGAGGAGGAATTCTCACGATACATGACAAGACGAAACATGATCATGCATCTTCCCGGCTCGCCAAGTCCAGCAATGTCCACATTAACAGCCAGTAACCAGCTCCGGACAATAAAGACGAAATTAGGAGTAAGCGGTATGATCCAATGGCGGGAGCTGAAACAACAGGTAGTAACAGTTACTAAGCATGATGGTTACACAAGAGGTTGCCGATCAACCTCACAAAACTTCGATTGTGAATAGCGGGCTCATCTGCGCCCGGGATACCTTCTTTCATAGCAATAACAAGGCGCCATTTCTGTATTGGCGGGTATAAAGCTGAGACTTTTACATACTAGTTAGCAACAGCTTACTCTACGATCTTCTCGAAGCCTTCTCCTGAAGTCTTGGCCCCCATACTTGGCAGCTTACTCTCGGGACATCGGGCTCCACCCGTTTAATTGCAGATAAGCGGCGACCACAGCTGCCAAGTGATGATCTGCCGATTTATCCAAGTACCGCTCACTATTACACAGAAGCCTGTCGCCTTGTCGGCAGTCAGCGGCCAAGGCGTTAGGCAGCGGCTGTAACCCCAATCACGGATCATCGCTTCAAACCTCCTTTTTGGATCCGCGAAGGAACACGGCGGATGTGATGAAGGACCAAAAAGAGTAAACTTGCGTCAAATGGCCATGGTAAAGGACTGTGATCTCGATACGTCATGAATAGGTCTTATTGGAAGCTTCGCCATCTAATGGGAGAAAAGCCATTCAAGGAGAGTCTATCGATGAATGGTGATTTCTTGGCCGACCTCGCCAGTTCCGCGTATGAGAATTAGGGAGACAATCACTGATTCGTCGATAGTTGAAGGTTATAACGTTTCGATCAGACGCAGGAGAAACCTACACATTGAGATGTTCTATGTGCAAGACTAAGTTCACAATGAGAATAGATTCTCTGCCTGATGATGTCAATTTCTTGCACGGTCCAAGATCAGTTCTCTGTCCGGTCTGTGCTTGGGCACCGCAGCCGTTGTATCCATTCGAGGGATGGCTTTACTATTTCAGACAGGATCCAAACAGTGTTGTTAAGCAAGCGGACGGACGGCGGATCATTGATTTATTGCAATAGCCTGAGTAACAAGTGCAGATTGAATGGTCAAGATGAGGTTGCGCATTCGATTATTCACGGGATGAGAAATATATAGAAGATTTTATGAATAAATTGGTTATAAATCGCAGCGTCTATGAACCTGGGCGACTCCCATATGCCCTTCGTGGCAACACAGAATATTACTTTGCTTTTACTGGAGAGCTTATGTGGCAGTTCAGTTTATTTACATCTCCCAGAGCACTGGTGAGTAACCCTATTCAGCCAAATGGTAGTCCGCTTAGTTCTCAATGAAGAAGTTCTTTTTGTCGCACGAAATGTCGAGTTGATCAGTGACCCCGCAACGACCTGAACTTGTGGCTGAAGTTTCTGCGAGAGGCCTACCATTATGCCTCGACATAAGAATGAGAAGCGTCCCGCTGCCCTCCCCCCCTCATTTCTTTCTTCTTTTCTTGACTTCAACCATATATTCTGCCCTGAATACATCGGACTCAACTGTCCCCTGGCACAGAGATGCAGTCACCGCCACATGAAGAGTTTGGCACATGTTTGAAGAAGTATGTTTCCATACCACCAGTCCGATGAGCCTGTTATTGACAGAACAGGTATTTCAACAATACAAGCCTTTCAGACGCGGTCATTAAATGCGGAGGTCGATGTTTTGCAGTCCACAGTCTTGTCCTTTTTTGCCACTCCGAATACTTCAAAAAGCAGCTCGATGGGCCGTGGAAGGTTTGAGAAGCACCTCTTCTCCGTGATAGTGAACCAAAGCTAACAAGCCACAGGAGAGTTCTGAGCGAGTGATAGAAATTATGGATTTCGACCCCGCTGTTGTCGAGGCAATGACACTTTTCCTCTACTGTTTTGATTACGAGTCCCCCGCCGACTCATCAGCTATGATGTTCCATGCCAAAGTGTATCAAATCGGTGATAAATATGACATCGAGGCGTTGAAGAGACTCGCTGCGATGAAGTATCGCACTAGTATTGAAGCGGGATGGGAGATGGATAGCTTTCCAGATGCAATCGCCCTGGCATATACAACTACGCCATCGGGGGATAGGGGATTACGTGATATTGCTGTGGAGATTACATTCAAGAGGCTCGGCAAGCTGATGACCCAAGACGCGTTCTGTGGAATGATGCGCGATAATCCAGAGATCGCTGCTGACATTATTCGATTTACAAATAAGACATGTGAAAGGGTCAGGGAATATAAGTGCAGAACGTGCACACGCGTCTTTTTATTAGGCTTTCCTGAGTTCGAGGAGCCTTACCAATTGCAGTACTGCCCGTGTTGTGATACCCGTCACTCCTCTTGGAGACCTGAGGCTGGGAGATAAAAACTACCCAGACGGTCTTGGCTGGTTCGGATACTGTTAAGTAAGACTATTTTAATACACTCATTCTAGTTTAGCAACATATTATCCAGGCCAGCGATTCCCACGCTTCAAAACACTTTCCAAAGTTCACTAGATAAACCACTTCTGCCTTAGTATCCCTTGACGCCAACTCTGAAAAGCGAAACGTCACTTTCGATCTTCTTCCGGAGGGGTCCATTCTTGAGTTCATCGACATCCCATTTCGCCCAGATAAAACGCCCATGGAGAAACTCGGCTTCTTCAGACGCTGCCCAAACAGCAAAATCGCCAGGCAGTTTGACTGCATTTTCGTCAGTATGGGAAAGACTTCTGAGGATCAATACATACTGTCATCCCACTTGAAACTATTTTCATCGGTGAAACGCTCGAACGATTCAGTATAGTGAAGCCCAGGCTCGAAACTGATGACCTGCATCTCACTGGAGGGTATAGTCATGGCGATGTGCTGCATCATCATTGTTCCAGCGCTCTTAGTAGTTGAGTATAGAGGAACGGGAACAGACATCTTGGCATCGTGAATTACAATGCTAGATAAGTTGAGGAGAACCTGTTCGGTGTAAGGCTACAGAACAACATATGTCATGAGGTCTCATAGCTTACCAGCTTTCGCGAAGGGTCGATTTCTCGCTGCTTATAAAACAGACTCGTCCACAAATACGGAGCAATAAGGTTCACTCCAAGGCCATCCCTGAAGGTTTCATACCCAAGTCCAAGAATAGTGTTGGGCAGCCACATTTTCGCAGCACTCAAAACGAGAACATCGACGAAGACACCATCTTCTGCGAGTTTCTTCCAGAAGTCTCGCGTGGCATTCTCATCCGCGAAGTCGTTGAGAATCGGGATGACTTCAACGCTGGAGTAATTCGTCTTGATCTTGTCGGCAGCTTTGTCCAAGGTATCTTTGCGTCGACCGGTGATGATGAGACGAGTCGCAGAGGCTGCGGCGAAGGACTCGGCGATGCTGAAGCCAATTCCAGTAGAGGCTCCAGCGACGAGGACAGTATGGCCGGCCTGGGAGAGCTCAGGACGAGATGGCGAGATTGCCTTGTATGACTCGCGATGGATTTTGGTAATGAGGTTGCTGCCGTTGGTAGGTGCCTCGGCATTCTCCCAGGGATTTTCCTCAGGCCTTGTCTCTGCTGCGGAAGGCATATTGTAAGGTTGTTTGTTGTACGGTATTTATATGGTGACGTGATATGTTAATTATAATGTAGATGCAAAACTTATAAGAATCGGGTATTTATATTTTATATAAGAGACTTTAACTAGTTCTATATGCCACGACAAGGAGCATAACATAATCTTATCATATCGGAAGCCTGTGGACGAATCTACTAAAACCCGCCAGAAACCCGCCTGCTGCTCTGATTCGCATAGCGGAGCGATAAGCTTATCGCGGATGGTATTCCACCCAAACCCCGCAGAATTTCCGCTTGACAGCTGACAAAGGCCGCTAACGTTATTTTTTATCGCCCTAAATCTCCCCAGCAGCCTACAACAGAAACCCGCAATCTTTCCGCAACAACACAATCACAATGGGCTCTGGGACAAAGCTCAAAGCATGCTACGCGTGCACGAACGGAAAGCGGAAATGTGACAAAGCTCAGCCTATTTGCGGGCGCTGTAATGATCGAGATGTTGAATGCCGATATCCGCCTACGAAGCGGAAGAGGCTGCACTCGTCAGCACCAGGAGCGGAAAATGGCGGAGATAATCAGGACAGGCTGAGCATTGGGCCACCGAGTCTGATGCAAATGCCCTTCTCAACACCAAACAATGGCTTGATTGACCTTAATCAGTGGGCAGCCAGTTTAAGTAATTGGGGCGCTCTGCCCGCTGCTGAGCTGCCAGACGACTCGCCCGCAACCAGCAGCGAGACAATCTCGAGCCAGAAGGATGCTGTCGACTTCTTCCTCAGACCTGACGCGTGGGCCATTCGACATATTCCCTTCACTACCCCATCCTTTCCCAACTCTGTCTGCATGAACTATGTCCACGGAATTCGCGAGTTCTTCACAGAGTGGGTTACAAATTCGCATAGCCCGTTCATACACAACCAGCTCTACGCCGATGCTGGGCTGCCACCAGCAATTCAGGACGCCTTCACCTGTATCATCCTTCACAACTCCAAAACACCCGCGAATGAGACGGTAATAGATGAATTACTAGCTTCGAAAGCAGCCTCGTTACTCAAGGCATATTGCCCTGACCTCCCTGGTCCTGAAGCGACGCTTGGCATTCGTGAGCACCTCTCTCGAACACAAGCTCTATTCGTCCATCTTGTACTCGCACTGTTCTCACTCTCTATTAGCGCGCGAGCCAGCGCTGAACAGCAGATACAAACACTCCTCTCCTGGACGCGTCAACTCTGGGAAGCCGCTCTTCGTGATCCGGATATCGGCCTGCCATGCGACGGTGGCGATAGCTCTGCAGCTGCAGCCTCTGCCAACGACATCATTCTGGACTCTATCTTCGACGGTGATCCACTACCTCGGAAGTGGCGCTCTTGGGTATTGGCAGAGAGTGTCCGTCGGATATGGCTAATGGCAACATCCACCATTGGAGTCTATCTCACTCTGAAACAAAAGTGGGCTGAATGCCACGGCGGTATTTACTTCACGGTTCATAAAGACCTTTGGGAAGCCAGAACCTGCTTTTCATGGGCAACTGCATGTCGGAAAGCAGATCCCCTTTTCATATGTAGCTTAGACTGCGAGGGTCTGTTTCTGAGTGCAAAGGCATCGGATGTAGATCCGATGCTTATCAATCTCTTTACTATTATGTGGGGGGTTGAAAGGGTCGAGAATTGGGTTGCGAGAACATGTGAACCTGAAGAGGATGTAAGGGTTTGGAGGGGGACGGATTTGCCTGTGGAAAAGGGAAGAATTGCACCTTCATGATATTTGATATAGATGACGACCATAGTCTCACTTATTCTGCAAAGAGACATCAACCGTGACGTCTACCACATTCCGTTTCGATGCAGGAGACTTGTATGACTGATCAAAGATACTCCATAGAAATCCAAACGCTCTTGGCTTTCCGTTCTCAATCTCAGAAACATGGCCCCCCACTGTATTCCGCTCAAACGTGATCTCCGCTTCTTTCTCACAGAGTCTATCAACCGTCGCATCGGTAAGGTCTATAGTGCAGAAATGATCCTGTATGGCCTTGTACAGGAAAATGGGCATCGTGGGCGTGTCTCTGTATCCCAGTTTTGCTTGCTTATGGTAGAGCTCTTGTAAAATCGGAGCTCTCAAATCTGCACCTCCACCTTTAAAGAAACAATAAATGTCCTGCCCGGAGTATTTGCCCACATTTTGAGTAACTTCGGTGTTCACGGCCGACATAAACTCGCCCTTCTTCTCCGGGACAAGACAGCTCTCTAGGTAAGCTCGTTCTTGAGGATATTGCGCTGTAATTCCTAGCAAAATTGCAATTAGAGTACCAGCGATAGGGCTTTTGTTGATCTTGTCCAATGCGGCGGATATGTCATCCACAAGACCGCCGACAACAGCTGCTGAAATATTGAGCTCTGGCGCATAGGATGGTTGTAACTCAGCCGCGGAGAACGTCGCGATTGAGCCACCGCTGTATCCCCATATGGCAGTGCTGAAGCCTGAATTATCCCCCAACCTAAGAAGGTCATGAACAGCGCGCAAGGCATCGAGAGTCGCATGGCCTGCTTGTACACTTGCACCAAATGCAGCGTTCGGTCCAAGGTGATCTGGAGTGTTGACGATCCACCCAAAAGAGAGCATCTCAGTGATCAAGGAAGTACTTGATTTAATACCAAGATTTGGTTCGTTTTTCGCCATCGCTCCAGATAAAGCGTATGAAGGGCTGGAGTCGACGTTGCATGTATTGTACGCGAACTGATATGAGAGAATCCCTACTTTTCCGGATGGAGATTGGTAAAGTGAAGTTGGAATGAAGAGTGTAGTGACAGCCCAGGATGGATGACCTCGCGAGTCTGTTGAGCGGTAAAGGATGTGATATACAGCTCTGGCGCCATCCACGATTCTGGTGAGGTTTGATGCGGAAAGAATGCGGAGGACGTCGCCGGGTTGTCTAATCCTCCAGCCATCGGGCGCAGAATACCATGGGTCTTCGCTTGGTGGGAGCTGATGCTCCAGACTTGTATCGTCAGTGACGATATTTCTGCCCGTGGGTTTTGCGACGGCGCATAAATCTAGCAGCCATTCTAGAGAAGACATTTTGTCATGGATGATATTGCAAGAGCAAAGTGAAGGTCAGCATTTGTAGCGGATATGTCCTCAGGTCACTCTGCCTCATGCTGACATGCTGATACAAACAGTAAGGATCGCCCACCAGAGAGACATATTAGAAACCATTGATCTCATAGATCCGACTATCCCAGACAGACGTGAAGCAAGAAAAATAGAAAGCATCTACATATATCTTGAGCTCTTCATCTGGTCATATTTCTCAATTGATCCAATCTCAGGAATTTGGAGTCTGGATGTCTGCTATCTTGGGTATGGGCCAAGCGCTAATTGTTATGTAAGGAACAGTAGTAGTGCCAGAGGAACTATCGATTCTGGGGTTATGTATGGTCATTCTATTAGTGTTCAAGAATTATCAGAGACCAGAACATTTATCAGAAGTCTTGTTTTTAAAGAGCTGGCACTCAGCTTGCCGTACAGAATTCCCTAAAAGCGTAATATCACACGGGCCGCCAAAGCGGGATTCTCCACCTGCGCTGTTTTACGTGAGACAAAGTCTGACATGTGAGATTATAGTTCTCACTACAACTACCGAAGCCTTATAAGCTCTGGCATTCCTCCTTTATCGGACAGGCGTTACAATCAACTTCAAAATCCAACATGACGAAGCCGCAAATCGTCGTCAAAATACCCCCAACTTCCGATGCGGAGGATAAAACCCTCGTCTCAACCCTAACTGATATCGTCAACACGGCCTACATGAAGGCCGAGTCAGATATCTTCATTCCATCATACCAACGAACAACCACCGCCG